ATGGGTTAATGTAGGCTTTAAGAATTAATAAGAAATCTGAGCTAATAGGCCAACCAGTTTATGATTATGTAGACCTCTGTGTGTTTCTTTGAAGCTGAATGGCTGTAGGACCTGGTGGGACAGAAACTACTGTCAATAGTTATGGTCAAAAAGAAAAGACCATGTGATATCAAGGGATGGAGAGAGATCTCAGGATAATCCAAACCTGCTGATAGCCTGATTTTGGACTTACAGCTTCCAGAACAGTATGACATATTTTCTATTTGTTTATGTCACTCAGTCTGTGGCACTTTGGGATGATGACAGTTTCAATGGGATACCACTTGCAGGAAGGAAGTTAGCTGGCAGTCTTGGAGGGGTATACCATGTTCAGTGACAAAGGTTATTTCTTTAGCTTCCACACTCTTTTACCTCTCTTGCTGTGGTCTTACCACATTTTTGGCCAAGAAAAGAGAGAAATGGATTTGATGGTGAACTTGCTCCATTTCACAATACATTCATAACCTTGACTTGGCTTGTACTTCTTTCTGTTTTGGAATGTAAGTGGTGGAATTTTGCTGCCAGAGACATGTGTTGACTGCTAATCTCAATGGCAGGGAAGGAGGCAGGAAGTCATGGAATACAAACAGAAATATAAGAGGGAGAATGTGACAGTGCAGCCAAGAGACATGGTGCTGCTGGTTTAGCACAAATATTGTAGAGACTTGACCGCATTTTCAGTGATGATCCTGGAGAAATGACTAAATCCTGCAGTGTCTCAGTCTCCTTATCTGTGAGGATGATAGTTACAGAGATGATGGAGGCTTAAATGAGTTCATACTACATAAAATGCCAGAATCAGTACCTGGCAAATGGTGAGCATGCCATGGGAGCTTGTGACCATTAGAAATGGTATTGATGGTAATGATGATGGTGATGTTATTGATACTGACAATGACTATTGATCTTTCACATGTACTTGAGGCAAAATTACTTGGCCCTACTGACGTCTTTCCCCTTTCCCATGGTTCTTTTTGGTTCCATATCAGGTAGTTTGATTAACTTTGGCTGTCCAATCCCACCCAGAAGCCTTATTCATAACTTGTACTGTGTGTAGGACTCCATTCTCCTCAGTGAGAACAACTCATTACATGACTTGGATATGTACAAGAAGTCAGGAATGCATGTCACATTGATCTTGGACCTTGATGGCAACTTAGTTTTTAGCTGCTTTGTGGACTTAAGGCATTAGATGGAACCTCTTTCTCAGTAGTCCCTTCTCTTGGGATTGGTGCTTCATTTCTTTTCCCACTTGTATCAGTTTGCTTCCTTCCTTCCTCAAGGGATTCCTAGGATGCTCTGGCATCCAAGGCTGGACTGCGAAGTTTATGATTCGATAATTTTACTTGAATGATTCCATTCCCTTTAGAATGTCATTTCCCATCGTATCTGCAAGTGTATTCCCTGTATATCAGCCAAGTTCTGTCTCATATGATACTTCGCTACAAAACCTCTCTATATTCTACTGTTTTACTCAAACTCTGCCCTCAATGAACAGCTTATGTAACATTTTGTATAAATTTAAATTCCTGGAGTAGGTGAAGGGTATTTCTGGAAAGCACAGATAATTCTGTGTCAAGTGTAGTAGAAAATAGATGAGCTGGCCTGGAGCTTGTATCACTATAGACAGATTTTCATGGAAAGTCCAGTAAAATAGACCTGTTTAAAAGAGCTTTTCACAAAAAGCTATTCTCTTGATTGCTTATAAAAGCTATATTTAATGAAGCCTTCTGAATTCCATGACCTTGGTAAAGATACCCATCCATACAAGAGATCCATGCCATGTTTATCTTTTTAATTTCTGTACCCAGAAAAGCACCTGGGGCACACTGTTGGAGCTCAAATGTTGGTTGGACGAATAAAGATGTTCTCAAAGGTTCCTGCCTTCCTTCATGCTTCAGTTCTGGGAAAATTCTGGAAGAATGACACTAGTTTGGTTTTACAAATCTTCCCATCAAGCTGTTACTGTAGGATTTACTGCCTGACTCTCAGAGGGCAACCAGGGGCAGAAAGAGAGGGATATAAATGCTGCAGGTATTTATTTTTAGGGCAAGTGCAGAGTGCCACATTAGTCACTGGCAAAGATTAAGGAGATGTGGGTACAGAAGAGTCTCCATCTTATACTTGTTTTGTTTATATAATGTAGGCTCCAAAATGATTATTCAGAATGCTTTATAATCTCTTCACCATTCTGACAGTCTATGCAATCACAAGAATAGTCGTAACCTGGGTGACTGTTTTTTGGAGGTATGTCAAAACACATTTGAATTTCAATATTTTTGTATGTGTGACATCGAGAGATACTTCCTGGCTCTTTTTCATCTTTTTTCCATTTCAAGTATTTTACAAAGTATGCCAAATCTCATTTATTCACGTAGGCTTAAAAATTAGTCTTAAATATAGGCAACATAAATAGCAAAGTGCGACGGTGACATTCTTCTTCTTCCCTCAGAGGGGCTCTGCTTTAGGTTCCTCAACTGTCTTACTCAGTGTTGTTTGTCTCAACGATCACTGAAGTACTTAAGTAGTGATAAGAAGCATGCAGAACGTTTCAAACTGCTGTAATTGAAACCAACAATTTTATAGAATGTGCTTTTAGCACTGAAGAAAATGTGAAGTCAAAAAGAATTTTTTAAAAATGATTATAAAGGTAGCTATAACAAAGGGCATGCTTGACTCAAGCTCACTTTGCCGAGAGAAGTGGGAATGGCAGCAAGGGGCTGGACTGACCTCCAGTAGAAGGAGCTCATTGCAAGGCTACTTTCAGCTTTGTCAGTCTGGTTGGCAAGCTCAGATTCTGAACTAATTTGTTTATATTAATTTTTCACTGTATATATTCATTGCACATGGTGCCAGATTATATAAACTCTGGTCATTTCTTAAGACTCTGTGAATTAGTTAGTTTTTAGTAGCTATGAAAAATATCAGAGAGGAGGAAATTCTTATTTTGGTTCATGGTTTCAAAGCTTTAGTCCATGGTTAGTTGGCTCCGATGCTTTGGGGGAGGAACTTACTCATCTTTCTAAGGCAAAAAGCAGAGAGAGGAAAAAGTATCCATAGAGCCCTAAAATTCCCCTTTTAGGATGTTTTCCCAAAGAGTTGACTTCCTCCCCCTGGGTCTTACATCCTAATTATACCATTATCTTCCCACAGTGCCTATGGCTAGTGACCAAGCCTGTAGCACATAGGCCTTTATGGGCTGTGTCAGCTTCAAAGTGTGATCCCTTTATATGTAAAACAATTAAATTCAGGAGAAAGGAGATTGAGGAAGATTCTATGCTTATGACTTGGTAGAGTCAGCATTGTAAAAAAAACAACAGTTCTACTGAAAGTAATTAGCAGATTCAATGTAGTCCCAACCCAAACCCCACATTCCCCACAGAGAACTAGAAAAAAAAAGCATGCTGAAGTTCCTATGGAACCACAAACGACTGTTGCAGGCGAAGCAATCCTAAGGAGAAAAGGATGATGTAGAGATTTACCATTGCAGACATCTTATGGAGCTGCATTAGTCAAAACAGTGTGAGACTGCTGCAAAAACACATATAGACCAATAGAACAACAACAACGGCAAAAATACCCAAACATGACTGCATGTAGCTACAGCCAACTGATATCTCACAAAGATACCAAAATCACGCAGTGAGAAAAGACAGCGTCCTCAACAAATAGTACTGAAAAAAAAAAAAAACCCAACTAGATGTTTGTACAGAGAAGAGCAAAATTAGACTCATTTCTATCACGCTGGACAAAAATCATCTTTAAAGAATCAAAGACTTCAGTGTGAAACCCAAAACACGGAACTGCCAGGAGAAACCACAGGCAGTAGTACAAGATGCAGGTGTGAGAAAAGGCGTTCGGGTAGGATTCCATTAGCTCAGGAGTTAAGGTCAACCATTGACAAATGGGCTTCCATAAAAGTACAAAGATTTCTTTTAACCAACCTTTCTCTCCAGTCCATCTTTCTTGCTTTTTCTTTTTCTTTCTTCGTGTATTCCTGGCTGGCCTGGAACTCATGCTGTAGACCAGGCTGGCCTGGAACTCAAAGATCCGCCTGACTCTGCCTCCCGAGGTCTGAGGTTAAAGGCGTTCACCACCATGGCTCTGAAGCCCATCTTTCTATTTCAGACTGAAACCAGGTCTAGTGTCTCCATCTAGTTTGCACTGAGAATCCTTGTCCAATGTGCTGTATCTATAGAATGAGGCATGGAGGCGAATAAAATAAAATGGAAAAGGTTCAGATCAGTGACTCTCAACCTTCCTGACACCGCGACCTTTAAGACAGCTCCTCATGCTGTGGTGCCCGCCCCCCCCCCAACCATAAAATTTTTGTTGCTACTTCATAACTGTAATTTTGCGACTGTTACGAATCTTAACGTAAATATCTGAGTTTTCCGATGGTCTTAGAAGACCCCAATGAAAGAAAGGGTCGCGACCCACAGGCTGAGAAAGTGATCTAGAAGGTGTGCTGGCTGATGGGCATCCGAGGATGGGGTTTCTGCTCAGCAGGTGCAGTAAAGCCTTTAATTTCTAAATTGCTCTAGCTCAGGGGACTTGTTTCCACGACATTCTTTTAAGAAGAGCCTTCTGCTTGTGGTCGTGCAAAACAAAAGGCATTATGTTCTCAAGCGGAAAAACCTGCCTGCCCTGAGAGACACAAGCTGTACTTAGAAGGGAAGACTCGCCAAGGGAGGGATTTCGGGAGGTTTCCATTTCTCAGATGGTGGTCCCAAAACCTTGAGGGTCAGAAATGTAGACAGCTGGAATCTGGGGTGTGGGAGTACTTTCAGGGACAGCTCACTGTATTTCTTCCCTCTCCCCCAATGAGCTCTGTTCCTCACACAGTGACCCTGAAGACCTTGTGGTCGGTAACCACAATTCAATGCCGAGTAGACAAGAAAAGCAAGCTGAGGGAGGAGCTCCGAGTAAGGAAAGCACAAACCTATGCTCATCTCGTCCAGCAGGTGGCAGTGAGAGCACGTAGCTAGGCTAAGAGAGGCGCCCCAAACCCGAAGATCAGCGCTGGGAGCCTGCTCATCTCCAAGGCGGATTCCAGGACCTGGTACCTGCCATCGCTCAAGCCCTCGGCAGATCTTGTAAGAGCTTTTTCATTTGATAATCTATAGAAACATCACTTGCTTCCATTCTATCCAGCGGCTTATTTGCAAAGGCTGAGCATGTTTTAATAAATCAGCAACCCTACAAGTAAGAAGGGAAATAAAATATTTTTCAGCTTGGTGATGGCGAGTGTTTGCGTTAAGCACTACAGCGACAAGGATGATCAAATAAGGACAAGGTTGTGGTTTTGATCTCTGTGGAGGTCAATTACTTCGTTCTATTGTTTGGTCAAAAACCTCGCTGCCAATCTGTTTAACCCCCTGGAAATGCATGCTTGCGTGTAGGAGGTCAACCGTGTTACATGGTCAAAGAAATTCACTAGGGATAAGGCACAAGTTTGGCCTTAGTGTCTTTATGCTGTTGGGTTAAAATCCCTATCCTTGAAGGCAATGGACAACGTCCATGAAAGTAGCCGGATGTGATGTTCATACCCATTGACTGTTCCTGTGATAATTCGCTTCTACCTAGGGAGAATAGGCTTTGCCATTTGAAAACACAGTCGATTATCTGCTTCAGTGGACCGGCTCTGTAAGTCCTTATCTTCTCTTCTCCCCTTCCTGGTCTCAGAGAAGGTCAAAGGCAGAGAAAAATCTGGGAAGAAAGAGCGGTTTGAGCCTACACTTACCTCATCATTGGCTTTTAGACCCACGCATGGTTTTGGATGAGGTACCCTTGTCCTTATCATAGGTATGCGGGTCAAATGACTTCTTAAAGAGAACAGGAACACCCTGGGACCTTGTATCGCGCATACACAAGAGCCCACCTTTCTTTGTTATTTCATTTTGTACTGCCCCAGAGAGCCCTGTCTCATGGTACTGCACCTCAGTTTGGCAAGTCAGGTCCCTAAGATCTATGCTTGACAGCTTACTTCTCTTGACTTCTTCTCTCACTGTCAAATCTTGGCAACATTCCCTCATCTGCACCATTGCCTCTCTTTATTGTGGTCTAGCCACTTCTTCTGAATGTCTTAGTAACCTCCCTTGGTTACATCCATTCTGCCTTCACTCTTACACTGTGCAGAATGAAGCTTCTGTTGGTTTAGCCACAAGGTTGCCTCAAAGTAGGCCAAGTGTTAATATTTTTGATCATTTTGTCTTATTTAAAGAACATTTTTTATTTGTTTTATATACTGACTGCAGTTTTCCCTCCCTCCTCTTTTCCCAGTCATGACCCCCTCACTTTTCATCTATTCCCCTCCCCTTCCACTCCTCCTCTGTCTCCATTTACAAAGGGACAGGCTTCCCACAGGCTTGAACAAAGATGGAACATCAAGTTGAGGCGGGACTGAGTTCCTCCCTTTGCATTAAGACAGGACAAGGTGAACAGGTTCCAAAAAGCCATCTAAGTGCCAGGTATAGGTCCTGATCTCACTGTCGGAAACTTACAATTATCACACACATTCAGAGGGCCTAGGTTGGTCTCATGGAGGCTCCCGAACTGTTGGTCCAGAGTCTGTGAGCTCCCATTAGCTCAGGCCAACTATCAATATGGTATATATATCGGGTTAGGTCTACTTTACCTTTAAGGACTCTTCTCTGAACTGGAAATGGAAGCATAGGGAACATGCTTTTTGATACACCTTGGGCATTAAGTATTTCACAAATACTGTGGAGCAGTGTCTCATACTGCTCAGAGCAGGAGGGGCACTCCAGGGAGAGGAGGGGAGGTGTCAGGAGGCCTTCATGGAGGACTATACTGGAGAGACATTTTGCAGAGCTTAAGGCTCCGCTAGGGACACAAATCTCATCTTCTTGGAACACAGACTCTAGAGTGTTGGGACCCAGAAAAAAGACTCCACATTATTACTGGGTGAATTCTTTCAGTTGAAAGATGTTGGAATGGCCTCAGAAACAAGATCTCCTTATGACTTTCCCAACCTCCTACTCCTGATACCTTCTATATATCCTGGTGGGCCACGGAAATGAGGATTTCTTCTCTACAAGATGAGTTTTAGAGTAACCAGGATCTCATCAAACCAAGTTAGTCTAGAAATATTACTCTAACCCTCTTTATGCTTTTTCTCTGTATAAGAGTTCATCACAAGGAAATTCTTTGATCTGTCTTGCCTGATTATGGATCATAAGACTCATTTTAGAATGGGTCCTGTCCCATACTCAGGGAGGAAGAAGAGGTGTTTGGCAGAACCAAGAAAAATATATTTTCTTCTTAAAGTATATATATTCTTTCCCCCGAGTTGCTTATCCTGACCCCTCGTCCTGTGTGTATGTGCATGTGCAAAAAGGCCAGAAGAGGGGACTGCACATCTTCCTCTCTCTCCACCTATTCCATTGAGGTAGGATTTCTCCTTGTTGTTTCCTCAACTAGCCTTGAAAGTTGGCAATCCCTGGGATCCTCCCTTCTCTACCACTTTTGGGGTGGGGATTATAAGTATGCACAGGGCTTACTACATGGATGCTTTGATTTGAGCCCCAGTTCTCATGACTTCGCAGAATGTGCTCATCATAGCTGCAGCCCATCTTTTTTTAACCAGTTGCATTTTTATGCGATTGTTCATGCTACACTAAATGTAAACTCAGAAATATTCTCCTCTGGATCTTTTGTATCTTCATTTTTGAAGATGACACATAACGTCAAACTTTGGTTGAATAAAGTTGTCATGGTTTTCTCTTGTCTACTTTACTATAGAAATATGTTTCTGACACTTATGATATGGAGGAAAAGGGTCACACCTTTAAGGTTGTCCCTGAAAGAGAAGGAAAGACATTAAGTAAAATATGCAAATGCATAAAGAAACAAGATTATAATTGTAATTAATCTTATGAATGAAAAGGTAAGGTTATTGTGAGTGAGAATAACAGGGTTATAATTTTGTTTGAGGGCTAGGAAAAGGCTACCAGCAAGAGCTAAGACAGGGGATAAAGAGGTGTGTGAAGTCTGTAGAGGACTTGTGGGCAACATTCTGCACAGCCAGTGATGGGATCATGGAGCCCTGGACTGATAAATGTGGTTGGTGCAAAGTAAGCCTGGTGAACAGAGCAAACAGTGGAATGGTGAAAAATCTCCAAGGTCAAGCTCAGGATTGGACTTTTCTAAAAGGTGACAGAAAAAGAGTCACTGAAGATTTTGAGAGTGTTGTCATGAACTCATGTGGAAAACTCAGCCTGATCACAGTTTGGAGAGTGCTTCGGAGAAGGGCAAATAGGAAAGCAGAGAGAGACATACTGTATGGAGTGGGTGGTGCATGGCTCCTTAGATGGACTGGAGAAAATAGCCCTGTTGGCATGGAAGGACTACAGCAGGGATAGAATGTCTGCAATCAGGAGACAGGAGAAATGACAAGTGGCAGGGACTGGCTCTAGGAAGAGAACAAAGAAATATGGGCAAGTGCTGTTGAACAGACTGGTGAGGGGCAGTGGAGCTGCAGGCACAGATGTTGCCCATTGTCAGTACACAAGAGCTCAGAGCTGTATGTGTGCAAGGAGGAGCTGAAACAGAACAGCTCCATATTGTAAGGAATAATTTCTTTGGGAAACTGATGATACTCAAAGAAGAGTAAAGCCTGGAGTTATTTAAGTAGTAGGGACATGAAAAGATGCTGTGTCCTTACTACTGTCAACAATGGTAATTACTGTACTCTTCTGACATTTGACATATCATTTATAATCTACTCAATGATTCTCCACTGTTCCTTCCCAAAGAAAGTATTTTAAACTGGCAGGACCGGAGAAGGATCTGAGTCCTTTCAGTAGCCACCTCTATTTGCAGCCACTGATCCTCTTACTTTTTTGTAAGGAAGTATTTTGTTGCTGTTTTTAGAGAAAGAAACTGGAGTTCTTCAGTGAGATTGGCATTCTAAAGGAGACGAAGCGGAGCACATTGCAAAAGTGAGATTTGAATGATCATCTCTCTGGATCTAAAATTCATGTCCATTCCATCTGTATTAGTTAATTATCTGTTGATGCGATAAAACATCATGACTAAAAGCATCTTATGGAAGCACAAATTTATATGGGCTTGTGGTTCCAGAAGGATAGGGGTACATAATGGCAGGGAGGCATGGCCCTGAGTAGCAAACATGGTAGCAGAAACAGGAAGCTGAGAGCACATATTTTCAAATCCAAGCAAGAAACAAAGAGTGAACAGAGAATGGGGCCAGACTATAAACACCTACCCCCAGTGATGTTCTTCCCTTCTACCAAAGGTTCTACAACCTCTCCAAGCAGTGCCAATCAACCATGGACCAAGTGTTCAAATATTCGAGTCTGGGAGACATTCTCATTCAAGCTCCCACATTGTCCTATTAAAGAACCACTTGTTGTCAGTAAGGCCTATTAGGAGCAATGCATTTATTTATATGAACTTTTTTTTTCCCTACTAGAATGTGAACTTATTGAGGGCAGTGACTATGTATTGTTTGTTTATGCTTTCTTTTGTGTAAAGATGTTAATTAAATACTTTTGCTATAGAAAGGGTGTTGTGCCAGCTGCGGGCTGTGTTCCCTCACCCAGCTCCTGCCACCGGCTAGCTTTACCAGAAATAACAACACACAAACTGTATTCTTTTAAACACTGCTTGGCCCACTATATCTAGCCTCTTCTTGGCTAACTCTCGCACCTGGACTAGCCCATTTCTAATAATGTGTGTAGCACCCCAAGGTGCGCTTACCGGGAATAGTCTAGCCTACATCCATCCTGGGTCGGAGCTTCATCGCGCGTCTACCCGGGAGAGGGAAGCATGGCCTCTCTGAGCTCACTTCCTCTTCCTCCCAGCATTCTGTTCTGTTTATTCCACCCACCTATGTTCTAACCAATAAAATGGGCCAAGGCAGTTTCTTTATTTTTTAACCAATGACCTTCCTCCATCAAAAGGGCTGGTAGTTCTTCTATTAGGGATCTAAAGTCTACTCTCATTTCTCTGTCCACTGGAGTGCTATATCTTTTCCTGTAAGAAAGGGAAGAGCTTGTGCCTCCAGCTTTGCAATAGAGTCCTTATCTACTGTGGCTGTAGAGAGTACAGT